TTTTTTTTTTTTTAAGAGAGCCTCTCTCTGTCACCCAGTCTGGAGTACAGTGGTGTGACTGTAGCTCACTGCAACTTCCTCCAGCTCTTCATCTTCAACTGATTTCCTGCCTTGGCCTCCCAGAGTATTAGGATTATGGGTGTGACTCTGTGTGGCTGGCCTTAAGTACATTTTAAAATTAAAACAATCTGCTTGTGACATAGACCATAGCTGACATTGGTACTCTGAGGCTTCGCTTACACCTGCTTTGAGAATGCCTATGTTCATTTTGCGGTCTCTCCTGGTCTCATTTTACTGATAGGATTAAGCCAATGGGAAAAAATTAGTGACTTCAGCAAATGAGATTATTGTCCCATGTTACAAGGTTAGCTATCAAGAAACAATGTTTGGGACCAGGCACAGTGGCTCATGTTTATAATCCTAGCATTGTAGGAGGCTGAGCTCATGAGTTCAAGATCAGCCTGAGCAAGAGCAATACCCTGTCTCTAAAATTAGCCGGGCATATGGCAAGTGCTGGAGTCCCAGCTACTTGGGATGCTGAGGCAAGAGAATCACTTAAGCTCAAGAGTTAGAGGTTGCTGGTTGCTGTGAGCTGTGATAACATGGCCCTCTACCGAGGGACAATAAATGAAACTCGGTCTCAAAAAACAAAAGAAAACAAAACCTTGGATACTGCAAGTGCTTAATGAAAATGGGTTGCTCAACTAACTCTTTTCATTGTGGGAATAATTTACGGTGTCTGTTAAATCTCTTCACAAAAAAACTTTAAGTTTAAATCAGGTGGATATGTGTTTTTAATGATAGTGGGATGAAAGTTGGAGGCTTTGGGGGGTTAAAACATAAAGCTTATTGAAAATAATCATCACAGTCAGTATTATTGAGTAATGTGATATTGATATCTCAACCTGCTTTATTATAATATCCCTTTCTGGCATTGACCTTAGGAAATATTCTACTGGTTAGAATAGATATCGGAACAAATATTGTGTTTATCTAAAAACTTGAAATACACCTTGGTGGTATTCATTCATTTATTCATTCACCTTATTCATTAGCCTGTAGGTATTTGTCAGTACTTCTGCTGTGGCAGGCACTATTCTAAGTGCTGAAATCAAGTGGTGAAGAAAACAATGTCTTTGCATTCTCAATGCAAATTAATGGACAGGCTAGTGGAAGAGATATATAATTGTCAAATTAATAAATAACATGGTGACAGGTAGTGCACCAAAGATAAATTAAGCAAGTTAAAGGAATAGAGTGAAGGCTCGTTGGAAAGGATTGCTATTTTTTGAAAAAGTGGTAAAGATAGCCATTTTGATAAGGTCACTTTTAAGGATAAGTGCATTCCCAGCAAAGAGGGGAAAAAAAGATGGGAGTTGGGAGGGGAGAGGCCCCTGGTGGAATGAGCTTGACTGAGTTCCAGGAATAGTAAGCAGGCCAGCACAGCTGAAGCCCTGTGAGCCAGGGGGAAGGAGAGGAATTCAAAGCAGGTGCCTCGGACAGATTATGAAGGGCTTGTGAACCATAAGAAATGCTTTGGCAAATAAAAACACTTTTATTCTCCATGCCATAGGAAGTTATTGAGGGTTCTGGGCTTAGCGTGGTCTGACTACGTTTGCTTTATCAAACATCACTCTGGCTGCCCCGCAGACTACAGTGTGGGAAGGTGCAAGCAACCTTTTTGGCAGCAGGGACAGGAATCATGGAAGACAGTTTTTCCATGACAGTGAGGGGTTGGGTGGGATGATTGTTTCAAGATGATTCAAGTGCATTACATCTCCACCTCAGAGCATCAGGCAGTGGATTCTCATAAGGAGCCCGCAACCTAGATTTCTGGCGTGCGTAGTTTACTGTAGGGTTCCTACTCCTATGAGAATCTAATGCTGCTGCTTGTCTGATAGGAGGTGGAGCGCAGGTGGTTTGAGCAAGAGTGGGTGGCTGTAAATACAGATACTTTGCTAGCTGGCTCGATGCACCCTTCCTGCTGTGTACTCTGGTTCCTGACAGGCTGTGGGCTGGTACTGGTCCTTGCCTGGGAGTTGGGGTTGGGGACTACAGAATCAAGGGGCCACTGCAGTTCTACCAGCAAAAGATGATTTCTGGCTTGGACCAAGATGGTAGCACTGAAATGGTGAGAATGGATGTAAGAACACATTTTCAATGCAGAAGCAGCAGGATTTGTTCAGTTGGATTTGTTTGTAATTGGGCGAGAGAAAGGGGAGTCAAAGAAAACTCCGGGATTTTTGATCTGAGGTATTGGTAAAAAGGAATTTGTGTTTACCGAGAGGCTGTGTGGCCAGTCTTGGCTATTTCACAGGTGACTATCTGGGTTTCCTATGCCGAATTTGTACCGGAGGTGGCTTGGACAGCCCTTTGGACACTCTGCTAAAGATTATTCATCCAGCCTACTATTATGCCACACACTACAAAAGGCACTAGGAATAAAAGAAATGAGTAACCTGAGTTCCTATTTTGTGGGAAGTCACATTTCGTAAGGCAGAAACCTAATTCATTACCACGGGATGTGTTAAGTGCATAGATAAGGGAAATCTTCTCAGGCGTGTTCTCAGCTTTTTTGTGCGATTTCTCACTGGTGTAAGTTTTTCAAACCTTCTTGGGCCACCGGCACTGAGGTGGCCACCATCAGCGCCGCCCTCTCGTGGGAGCGAAACCTACTCCGGGCTCGGAGCAGAACCCGCTGAGGTGTCCCCGCCGGTGTCTCTGCCACCCCTTGCGAACACGTGGAACATCTTCCCCAATCTCTTCAGGAGCCTTTTTGGCAGAAAAGAAATGTGCGTCCTCATGGTGGGCCTGGACACTGCGGGGAAGACGAGACTCCTATACGAGCTGAAGCTGGGGGGCTCAGGGACCCCCGTCCCACTGTGGGCTTCAAGGTGGACAGCGCAGAGTGTGGGACGTGGGTGGCCAGGACAGGATCCGGCCTCTGTGGCCCCACTACTTTCAGGACACGCAAGTCCTGATCTTCGTGGTGGGCAGCGGTGACCCGGAGCCTGTGAACGAGGCCTGGCGGGAGCTCACGCTGATGCTGGCCGAGGACGAGTCAGGGACATGGTCCTCCTCGTGTTTGCCAACAAGCAGGACCTGCCCAACGCCATGAACGCGGCCGAGATCACAGACAAGCTGGGGCTGCACAACCTTCGCCACAGGAACTGGTACATTCACGCCACCTGCACCACCAGTGGAGATGGGACTAGACTGGCTGTCCACCTGGCTCGGAGCCGGGAGTGAACGCCGTGGCCTCCCTGCCCCCTGCCCGCTCTCTGCTTAACTCTCAGCTGCAGACT